TTTAGGGTTTAGGGGTTTAGGCCTCGAAATCCTGGCGTTCAGCTAGTTTTGTAAGGCAGGTGAGTCTACAGGGTCTTTGTGCGCCCCATAAAGTGTTTTAAGGTTTTGGGAAATCCGGGCTGTATGAGGTTTTGTTTCTAAAGCTTATGAGTTACAGGGTCTCAGAAGGAAGGGTGTTAGGGTTTCGAAATCCCGGATCTCAAGTCGGGGGCTTTGGGGTGCGATACTGAGGTTGCATAACGGCTCCAAGGGGGTTCTGTAGGCCTTGGGCAAGTAAGGCCGGAGCTTTGCAGCTAAGGCCTGATAGAGTCAAAGGACTTATGGGTTCAGGCTTCTGGGCCAAAGCAGGAGCGTTTGCAGCGGGATTGCTGCAGCAGCAGCAGGATGAGGAGGCAGCATCAGACAGAAACAAGAAATCATGCACTACAGCCGCAGACCCCAAAATCCCGCAAGAGGACAACTCCTTGACCTTAGGGTTTAGGGTTTGGGGTTTAGGGTTTAGGGTACAAAATCCCGCAATAACCCTGCGCAGCTGCACGCATGCCTCCTCATTCAGAGCGACATAGTAGACGGTCTGCTCCTGTCCGGGCGGGTGATCGCATCGCTCTTGCAACTATGGCAAAGCCCGTGCGACACGCTTGTAGCACCAACCTATCTAACCCCAAAACCATCAAACAACCTGCACAAACTCTAAAGACTCTGCTCAAGGCCTCTACAACCCTAAAACCCTAAAAACTCTAAACCCTAAAACCCTAAAATCTCTGAAAAACTCTAAACCCTAAAACCCTAAAACCCCCACTCTCTCAAATCCCTAGAGGAGACCGCGCCGAGTCCTCAGCAGTGTACGCGTTGGAGAAGCCGCCACGCTCTGCCAACCAAATATCGAAACCGGACCTCAGTGTTTAGGGCTTAGGGTTTGCGGTTTAAGGGTTTAGGGTTTAGGGTTTAGGGTTTAGGGTTTCCGGTTTAGGGGTTTAGGGGTGTAGGGGTTTAGGGTTTAGGGTTTCCGGTTTAGGGGTTTAGGGGTTT